ATTAAAACAAATATGCACTGGAGCTCTTTTATAAAAATTACCATATGCAATAAACTTTCAATATTTCATTATTCAACTTGAAAAGGGACTCAATGAATTAAGGTTAGTTAATACAATAATAGCAAGAAACTTTACATAATTTTTTGAACAAATTTCGTTTTTCTAATTTTTCAAAAATTTTAATCAGAAAATTATTCCAGATATAAATAAAAATTATCTGATGAACAGTAACCTGGATGCCAATACAAAAAAAACGTCTTTAGGGCCGCAAAAAATTGTACTCAATGTTGGGAAAAATAGAATTTCAATCTGGATATAGCATAGTACCATATTTGAGAATCAGTTTGATTCATTTCAGTTGATGAGTTAGGCTTTTCAATGTGCACAATGGGCCAAGAGACACAGGAGTCCCCAAGAATTTATCTCAACTGAAAATATTTTTTTTAAGTACACAAAAAATTGTCTGTTTGTCCAGATGTGGATGGAACACTACTAGGGTATGCTTTGCTAAAATGTTATGGAAGTTAATAAGAAAGTTAAATTATATTATTATTTTTATGCATATGAGGAAAAATATGGATTTTCAATTCTGAAGAAGTTTTCGAAATATTTATCAGAATTTTGTTCGGCTTGTTACACCTACTGCTTTCATCTACAATTATCAATATTATATAATAAATATAATTGTCATATTGTGATACAGGAGAGATCTGGATTTAGGATAATTTCTTACTAAATGCTTAGTCATTTTTTCACCTGTTTGAAAAAGTCTAAACTGACATTATTGTTTCCCTATTCCAAATTTGAATTAGGTAGAATCAAGTTAAGCGATAATAAAACAATATTATGTCCGTGGAAGCAGTTGCGGACATCAATTACAAAGGTCAGGTTAGCTAACAGACTGAGGATGTTGGNATAATAATTTTATTAATCTGAAGAAACGCAGTTTTTAGACACGTCAATACAATTTCTAAAATAGGTTAGAGAGGATAAGATTCGTCAATATAGTTTCTAAAAAAAATGATTGTAGATAAATTGGCTTTTTTAGGCTATCGATTTTTATGCAATTCGCCACTAGATGGCGCTGCAGAACAATTTTTTGAATGCACTGTTCTATAACGCTGCGCACGCCTAAGTTCGTTGATTCTGATTCTGTCAAAACATTGGAACAGCAGCGATACAGCAACATAGTACTAGTCTTTCCATATACAAATAATATCAGGGAAGTGGCATTCAACAGTGTTGTACTTCCACACAACCCCCAAATTACCAACAGATTCGGAGGCATAAGTGAAAATACCAAGATTTGAAAAAACAAATACATTAGGAATCCTTCCAGCAAATGGGGAGCTAGCTATCAAAGAATCTGGAAAGGAGTTGAAGACTTTTACGGATGAATATAAAAATCGCCTTTGAAAAAGTAGTTTCGTATGAGGGAGTACAATATTTATAAGAGAACCTTCTTGATAGACGAAATATATCTGATCTTCTCAGAATTTTGTATAATAGATAAATTGGAGCATTAGGCTAGTATTATATATAATCAAAGTTGAGTAAAAGTTCGGGAGGTGACCACAAAAGTGTCTCTTTCTTCTTGAATAACTTCGAAAAATTGAACAATTTCATATAAGGATGTTTGGTTAATATTTTCTTCAATAAGTTTTTGAATCTTCTGAATGGCAAGTTAAGAAATTCGACAGATAAGACATTGTATAGCTTAATTCCTATATTATCTGTTCTTTTCAAACTATTAGCTGTAGTCAATAGATGTTTTGGCGTAAATGTGTATTATATTAGAAATGTACTATAATGATGTAATAATGAATTTGTTATTAAACGCTTTGTATCAACACCGTCACTACAAACTTTTTTTGTCAAATATGGACCCTTCTCTTTTATTACTAATATTGATGAAGCGATAAAATCATAATTCAGTGGTATATAGCACCTGATATTCTTGTTTCATTTGAAATGCATTATCAATGACAATTTTCAATTAGGGTCTCGTCATTATTTCTTTTGTGAATTGTTTTTAATCAATACCGTAGATTGCTGAGGAGAGCGGTGTGATGATTGCAACCTAGGACCTTCCAAATTATTTTTTAGATTTTAATGCATTTTTCAATAAAACCGTACAACACTAAAACATTTTTCACTTATTTTATTTTCAAGTTTTCAGTTTCTAATTTTTATCCACCCTAATGCCACCCAGTTCTCGGCACGTTTTAACCTACCTCAACTTGGGTGGCATGTCACTAACGACGGATCCCGATTCTGAGTTGACAGAGTGCTTTGCATATTGGATTTGCATCTTTATCATAGTATACTACTATAGTAGTGTACTATATAGAATTTGAATCTTTCTCAAAGTTTACTACACTAGTCAAGCCCTGTCATTTGATACCTATATTGAGGTAGTTGTGAAAGAATATGTAATCCGCCATTTTGTAGCTGCGGCCATCGTGAATTTGCATATCTTTCAACGTGTACTACTATTCTTCACCTTCATTTCAGTGCAGAATCAGAAATTGTCTTATATATTGAAATATGCAGATATAAACGTTAATAACAATAGTGCTAAAGTAATGTTATTAGCGAAATTCATTCAGCATGAATTTATTCAATACGAGACTTTAGAGAAATAGTTCATCAAATATAAAAAAAGCAATACGAGTGCGAGCTAGTGAATTTCGTTGTTTCTCTGTTGACAGTTACTCATCAAAAACAGTTTTTTCGGGAAAGTGATGACGACTGTTTTTTGGGAAAGTCATGGAGTTATTTTGATCGTGGAATTGGCCGCGGTGGTAGTACGCCCGACTCACGATCGGAAGGCCGTGGGTTCGATTCCCGCCTCGACCAGATATTTTTCTCGTTAGAATTTGTCTGGTTGAAGCTGAGATGATTCTGCAACCGTGTTAGGAATCACACGTTAAAAGGTAAGACCTCGTTAGTTCTTAGCTCGCACAAGCTCAACTTCTGAGAGTTGTCGTTCGTATGGGGGCGACAGCTGATTAACAGAAAAACATATTTTTTTTAAACAGATTACCTTCAAGAAGAAAAACCATTACAGGAGCATACTACACTTCATTACTTGACAAGCTGATGGCAGAACTTGCAGAGAAAAATTCACGAATTACGTTTTGAACTGTTTGACCATCTGCCTTACTCACCATATCTAGCCCCAAACGAGTTCTCTTTGTTTCTTCATCTAAAAATTGCGTTCAGAGGACAGAGATTTTCGTCAAATGAAGAGGCAATCACCTTCGCGAACAATTATTTTGCGGAGAAAAACGCCCAGTACTATTTGGACGAGTTACAGAGATGGGAGCATTGCTGAGAGAAGTGTGTAAAGTTGAAAGGACTATGTTGAAAAAACCACAAAATATGTCTTATATCTTCGTAAGGGTCGGAAACTCTTCAGACCACCCTTGTAGATCTCTGGAGGATTTCCAGTTTGCTTTTGAGTTTCTTGCACTAATTATATTCTGTGTTCTTTCCTATAAGACTATAAAATCTAAAGCCACTCCACGAACTCCATAATGTAATTTGTGTATGAGTAATTTATTATTCACACAATTGAAAGCTTTATAAAAATAAAAGAATAGATCACATATTTGCAGTTTGCTATCGAGAGACGTTATAACACATACAATAAAAAATTGACAGCTTTTCATTCAGTTTGAAACAAGACTCAAATGTTTCATTTTTTAAATTTTTCCCAACTCTTTTAAGAAATTGTATTAGATACCCATTACGTAATATACTTATGTCATTTTTAATTTTTCAACCCTTTTACTGTAAAACAGGCTTTTACTCTTATATTTCACATTTTATGTGACTTGTTTTATCATCATTATTCTTATCATTAAAAACATATTGTTTTCTAAAGTTTCATCTTTCATAAAGCCAAGCTGATTTGATAAGAATTCATTTGTAGTCAAATTTGATGTTAAGTTAAAAAAGTTTTGAAATACCCGAAACAATACTTATTCCTCTGTAGTTTTCATATCTATTGAAGTCATCTTTTTTAATTCTTCAAGTAATGGAGAAGTAATCTTGACCATTAATATTGCAATTTTTTAGATCTTTTACCATTTCGAAAAGTTCGTCAATATTACTTCCCATGAAACNGTGCGATTAAGTTTTGAGGATAGATTGCTAGATGGTGACAGAGCGCATAAGTGTTCAGTGACAGTGGCGAGAGGGGCGAGGGTGCCGGATTATTGAACGTATCGGTCTATTGAAGTGCCAGATTAGTGAGATTCTACTGTATAGGTTTTTAATCGAATGTAACCCTGAGAATGTAATACACAGCATTTTTTGACAGTGAGCTTCAAATTATTGATGGGGCACCATTTAAATATAATTTCTTTGGATGTTTTGGCAATCTTTGAAGATTAACAAACAAAGGTCCCGAATTTGATCCTCGAGGGACTCCAGATGTAGGTCTGACAAAGTGCCAGATTAGTGAGATTCTACTGTATAGGTTTTTAATCGAATGTAACCCTGAGAATGTAATACACAGCATTTTTTGACATTGAGCTTCAAATTATTGATGGGGCACCATTTAAATATAATTTCTTTGGATGTTTTAGCAATCTTTGAAGATTAACAAACAAAGGTCCCGAATTTGATCCTCGAGGGACTCCAGATGTAGGTCTGACAATGGGAGAAACATATGCTTTGTATTCAACATACTGCTTACGATCAAACAGATCAGACATCAGACTTGAAAATCTTCACTAATTTTTCAGAGAAACCAATAGCAATCAACTTCTTCAAAAGAATAAGCATATCCATTTGATCAAACGCTTTTTGAATATCCAAGTATATCACATCCACCTGATTCCTTTCTTCAAATATTCCACAAACATACTGGGAGAATGATATGNTCTAAATGATAGATAGCTTATCTAAAAAGCCATAAATAAAATCGTATAAAATAATCTCAGATAGTTTAGAGAAATTGTATGAAATCAAGATTGTTCGATAATTCTGTATACTCATGTCGCCTTTTTTCATAATAGGTGAAACGTGAGCCATCTTCCAATCATCAGGAAATGTACTGCTAGTGAGAATAGGTTGAAAATGTTCCTACGGATTCCTTATTTAGAATGTTTGTTTCATTTATTTTGCTCATGTACTATTGATTTGTTATTAAGAGATCTGTTGAATAGTTGGCAAGAATAAACAAAACTTTATATACTTGTCAAACATTAAACTATGCCATGTTGTTGGAAATGCAATGAGGGCAGTGCAAAGGTGTAATTACAATAGGCCTGAGTTATTTCTTAACGTTATATTGAACATATCAATAATTTATATATATTATGATGAACTTGTAACTGACAGTCATTCATATACATACAAAAATGTCAAACAATAACTAAAAATAAATGATTGATGTACAATACAGGGTGTGTTGCATTTTCAATTACCAACACATGTCATTCAAAGTATTTTTATTCAAAAAACTATTATTACCGATGGCAACTATAAAACCAAAAGTAAACATAAATGGTTTTTCGATTCATACGTAGATACGTAGACGTCACTCAAGACTTGGAAAAATGCAAACAGGCAGCGATGAATGAAGATGAAGTTTCTCGAAAACCCCAAAGGTAAATAAAGGTAGGCCTTCACCAGAGTTCATAAAAAAACTCACAAAACCTCCAAAGTGTCACGTAGTTAATCCAAGAGAAGAATGCAGTTGGAATCGAATTTGAGAAGGAAAAAAGGCTGGTTGAGCAAGAAGCAGAAATGAAAATAGGAGAATTGTATCGTCTAAATTCAAGTGAATTTTCAGTTGAAGAAAAAAACACTCAAATCTGCGTAAATAGTCTAGATGAAAGAGACTTCACAAAATTCAAACAGTTAATTGAAAAAACATTTTTAGCCTTTTAGTAGACTGGATCCGTTAGAGAACTTGAACCTGCATTTAGATACATTTATTGAATAGATAATAAAACCTTTTTTTTTCAACTGAAGATGTTACACATTTTTCATGAAAAATGAAGAAAATTTACCTATAATGGGACAACCAATAATGTGGCTTACCTTCCATCAAGAGTGTGAGGTCCATTCTGCAAAACATGGGTTACATTTGCAGGATCAGAAAATGTAACAAACCCAAAACCTCTGGACCTTCCTGATTCGGCATTTTTCATAACAACGCAGTCAATTACTTCTCCATACCTTGAAAAATATCTCTGTAAGTTATCCTGGGTTGTCTCCCAGGATAGTCCTCCGACAAAGAGCTTGCTGAAAAAAAAAAAAAAAGTCAAAACTCTTTTCCGCATCATATATTATATTGAGAAAATAATTATTTCTCAGATATGAAATTATCTATATCAATAATAAAATTTATCAAGCTTGTGAACAAATAATAAGAACACAAAAATCCTATTTTTCATTAAGGAAGTCTTTCACTATAAAATTAGTTTCGTAAACTGTTGACGTGAAACTGTCTAGCCGATAATGTTCCCTCATCATAATCATCATTCAAGCGAAGGGGAAGATTTTTACAAAATGTCGAGGGTTTGATAGTGTGTTTTTGAGAATTTTCAAGGTCCCCTTCAATAAAATAATATTGAATAATTCAAACACTCTAGTCTCAAATTACTTTGGCAGTACTATCTGTAGACTTTAGCTTGTATAAATCCTTACCCGTGAAATATGGTAAAATTCAAAAGTTGTGTAACTAAGATCATCCCTTCCTTTTACAGTTGCCTGAAAATTTTCTACAATGCAAAAAAGCACTTAATTGTTAAAAATCATAAGATCATTTACTGTGAAAATAGTGAAGTTTCAGTTTGTGCAAATAGTCTCCTGGATCCAACAATGTTAAATTGATAAAGATATTTGAAAAATAATGAAAACTGGGATAAACGTTCTACTGAATGAAGCTCTAAAAACAAAGGAAAATGATAAAATAAAAAGGTTAAATCAGGGAAAAATTATTGAAGAAGCTTAACACAAACAATCGAAGTACGTGAGAAAGATAAAGGACAACAAACCCACACTGAATAAAGTATCAATTCAATTGACAAAATAAATACTCCTTCCTTATAGGAACATTTTTAAACCAGACAAAAAAAAATACATATAAAGACTTGAACTATCAAAAAAAAAAACTCAATTAGTAGAATTTTTTGATGAAAATAAAATTATACATGATCAACACTATGGGTTTCGTGCTGGTATAGCTACTACTGATGCTATGTATAATGTTATCAGAAATATAACACAGGGACTTGATGAAAACCAAAAAATATATTGCAGTGTTTATAGGCTTAGCAAAGGTATTTGACACTGTTTACATGAAATACTTCTTAACGCACTGGAGCATTTTGGTGTGTGTGGGGAAGTGTTGGAAGTCTTTCGCAATTATTTGACTGACCGGAAACAATGTGATAAAAGAACAGGGGTGCCCCAAGGAACCGTTCTTGGTCTAATACCTTTTCAAGCCTACATAATTTTTCTACTGTTTGAAAGTAAAAGCAAGAAAAGAATTATATCATACGCTGATGATACGGTTATTTTCAACAAAAATACATGGCGTGAAACCATAAATTCTATCCAGTCCAGCACACAACTGTAATTTTATATTAATTAGTATTACTTTGTAGCACAACACAAGTGTTAAGTCACTTGGATGCTATATTATACACAATCTTTACTTTNAAGTATGGAATAAATTCGAGGAATCTTGCAACTTGACTATCCGACTACCTCATTAACAGAGCATATACTTTGTGCCTGCCCCGCTGGGGACCGAATCAGGTCTTTAGAGTTCGGCAGAGCCGTACACTTACCATCTGACCTGAAATATCACTCACTATACAAACTAATCGGCTTCGTTAAGAAACTGGGTTTGTTTGGCCGAGTGTGAATAGGTGTGAGCCGCAATAAACCCTTGCGGGTTGCGATGGAGGGTCGAATAGACCCACTCACTTTGGACCTAACCTAACCTAAGAAGGTCCTAATCCATACAAAATTTCAATTAAAATCTTGGAAAAGTAAAATATTCTATCCTTGACAGAAAGCCAGTCCAGTACTAACAACGTACTCCAAATTTTTCTGAACTTCTATAAAATACCCAAAAATGGTCTATACAAAAATTATGATTTCCGCCACAAAAATGTACTTCAATATTTCCGTAACGTATAGCGAGTTTAGGTGATAATTGAGCATATAGCTGTTATACCTTCACAGATCCTTGGAGAATCATATAGCCAAAGGGTCCAAAAACGCTGGACCTTTGTTATTTTATACTAGCTATTTCTCATTGCACGGCTTCAACAAAGGTACAAAACAACGGGCTATTATGAAGTTTGTATCGTTGATGCTTTGGCGGGAACCAGATGGTGAAGATACGAAAACTCCTTGTCAGATGCATAAATGTTAATAAATTAAAACAGCAATAATGTTATATTACAAAAATTGAATTTTATATGTTACTTGGGTAACTGTAAATGGTTGTGAGGTAGGTATTCGGCTGCATATTATTCGTTTACTCGGTATGCCTTATTAAATATCTGTTCTATCTGAAAGTCAGATGGTTTAGATATGCAACTAGAAAAATTCCAAACACATTGTTTATTGTATGGGTGTTTGATTAAGAAGCTCACATAATCAGGGATTTCAAAAACATAGGCTTTCGCAGGCGAAGTCACCATTAAAGAGATCAAAATTCAGGTTGGCAGGCCATGGTCGAGAGGAACTTGTAGTACCAAACGACATACATCATCAGTGATATGTGCAATGACTGTAAGGACAAAGGTTATATTTTGAAGTCTCAACAGTTGACTGACTGCAATTAGTGAATGCACACAAAAAACCTTTCAAAGAATTGTATTACTAAGTAAATTCTTGAAATCTATACTGATAGGGATAAAGGTAAATTATGATTAAGTTTGCTATACAGTTGTCTTCCATTTTTGTAACTATATTATCTTCATTATAATATTTATTGAAATATTTGATTTAATACCTTCCAATAAATAATTTCATGATTGTTATTTTTATTGATGTATTTTCCCATTTGACTTATGTATCAGTTGTCACACTTTTCAACCTTTTCTACTCTGTATACTTCAATTGGTTGATTTTGTTTTCATTTTTTGGTGAATATATATTTATTTCCAGTCACTTCTTCTTTTCCTTCCTGTTACTGAATCTGCTTGGATCGCCTTGAAAAGTGGATATTTTATCATTATCGAATGGATTCATTGATGAGACATATTTTCAGTTCATTTGCCATTGAATATACCTTCCGACTGTGGTAGCCTTGTTATTTTTTGGTATTATCTTTATTAAACTCAAGGCAACTCATATAACGATTTTATTACTAAAATACAAATCATGAAATTATAAAACAACAACAAAAATTAATTGGCACTCAGGGGCGACTTCATTGATTATTGTGTATCCCTATTCAAACATTTCCTTCAAATAGTATTGTGATTTTATTTTTGGGTTTCAACTTAATTATAGGAGAAAAACTTCTCAGATGATTAAAATATGAAATTTTCAAATGTACAACAAAAAGGGATATTTTTAGGAGTGATATTGGTTTTTTGGGAAAAAAAATATTGGAAGTTTCCCACGTTTTTTTTCTTGATCATGGATGAGTAAAACGCCAAAAAGTTTTTTTGCACAAAAATCTTTAAATAAAGTTAGTAACATTTGACTCCAACATAATGCTTTCTTTTAATAATTTCAATTTCAAAATGATTTGATGATGTATGTATGCCACGATTAGAAAATTGAAAAGTAATGATAAAGCGACCTTCTTTAGTAAGCGTGAAAATACAACAGATTCCGTTTCTTGACCGTTCTCAATAATCCGCTTGGGGTCGGTGAACGGCAAAAAAAGAAAACCGGTAAGCATTATCAATCAGTAAGAAAAGTTTCTATTCATTTTATATCGAACGTTTACAACAAATGATAGAAGACTGCTGTATTCTATAGGATCATGAAATGGCAAAATTTTTGTTGTACGCCGTGACCTAATAACTGGTGAAAAATAACACATCAATGATAAATACCCCTTTTCGTCATCGTCCATAATTTCAGGTTTTAATCGCAACATTCGCATGCTATTCCCAAAACACCAGTAACACAACACTTTCCTTATACTAGGACCCGGTTACGTTCACCATTCACCACGTCCAAGCTTCACCACACCACACTACACTACAAATGGCAGCTAGTGAACTTCCGTCAATTTTGTGTAAAATTAATTTTAAGCGCCACCGCTATAGGACCTTCGTTTTTATTCGAATAGAAAAGAAAAAAGTGCATACCCGTTCTCGTAGTCCTCCATACTAATTAAGATGTCTTACTCTAAACTTAAAAATTAATTTTAAATCTAACGTTAACACTATCCTAATTAACAACTATGATAGGAACAAAGAGACATATTGGAATATTTCTATAAGGGTGGGGGTGAGGGGAAATAGCATCCATTTTTTTTTAGAATGGAGGAGATTATTCCGGTGATGCCAAGTGTAGACTATAGAGTATAGGTGGCAACTACACAGTAGTAAATCTCTTATTTGAGAGGTAGTTTTATAGTCCAAGAAAACATTGCCGTAAGGTGGCGCTAGAGTCAAAGCAAACTTCAAGGAAACAAACAAATAGATTGGATGCTTATACTTGATCCTCCCGAATAACGCAAATAGCTTTCCATTCGAATCCTGTTATGCAGCAGCTACTCTAAATGATAGATAGGATCCTAATAATCCATGACCCTGAAGCCGATCGACATACGGCATATTAGCAAAGCTATTTTGAAAATGATTCGTGTAATATGTTGTTAACAATATGTGCACATTTACTGGATTGAAAGCCTGAACCTTTTGGAGATCAAGGAATCTAACCTTAACTCTTTGCTTCGAGAACGAGCCTTCTATTTTCAATATTTCATCATCACATCCAGTGTGATGGTTATATGAAAAATCATATTTTTTTGCTAACTTTTTGGATTCAACAAGTTCATTAGAGGATAAAAGGAATTCACAACAGCCCAAAAACCTTACAGAACTTGGAAAAATTGTTTTCAATCAATTATAATGAGATACTCTGATAGGATTTCAGGTCATATTAGAGTAAGTGGTATGTGGTCATATCTTCACCTTTCAAAAACTACCATGGAGAATACTTTGAGGAATATTCACTATGAATATGCCCTTAACACAAAAGTTGACTTCTGGCAAATCGGTACAACTCAAGTAAGTAACAAGTCATTAAGACATTATAAATAGGCAATGAGATGATGATCAGTCTTGCGATGAGGTGGATATAACTACATAACTCTATAAAGGAGTATCTTAAGGAACATATTGAACTTATCCTGAACTTATCCATGCTGGAATATCAAAAGTTTGCTATATGGGTTATGGTATACTACCTATTGCAGGATTATTGCTGTTCCGAAAGTTTTGACTATGAAACTGAAATGTTTCAAATACTATCGCACTTGGTTTTGTTCATGAAATGAGTTATATATTATATTGACATTGTCAAAAATATTTCGTATGAACATCATTTTGAATTGTTGCAGTCGTTTTTCATTCCAATTTTATTCATAATTTCGGTAATTATTATATTTTGCTAGTTGAGGGTTCTGACTGGTCCATATTTGATGATGTCTTGCTGAACACAGCTTTAATTCGACAATTGCTGGAGGCTGTTCAACTGAATGTCTGTATATTCTCATTTATGAAGCAGGATAACTCCATGAAAAGAAACTCTGTCAACTTGAAGTTGTTCATTCCCAGGGACTTTCCTGCATCTGTGAATCTTGTGGTTCATTGCAAAAACGCTTTTAAAGTCGTAGTCGTTACCTGTCGGAACGATACATTTGTACTCACTTGCGAAGATACTTCTATTAGTGAGGATCACAGCTTAGTAACTTAGCAAAAAATAGTTGGTTCTGTAAGATCTGTAGTAGTCAGTAGTCAGGGTTCATGTTTGGGAATTTAAAATCTGATGTCAGCGCCATGATCGGGAAAGTGCAAAAGATACATGTTTACATTGACAAGGTTATACGTTCAATTATATCCAGTGTTACCAGCGTATGAGAAATCACATACATTGTGAGGATTTAATAGTCATGGGAGTAATGTGTGAGTATTGATTCGAATGTGGGGATTTTGTGGCTATTCAATTCCTAAAGGAGATATCACAAAAAATATGTTTCATATGGAATTTCCACTGGTTATAGCAGCTGTAACCAATCTAAGAAAAGTAAACAAAAAAAAATGAAGAAAATGCCCTATTGGTAAATGCAATAAACCTAGAATGATGAAGACAGTTTCTTCCAGTTCATATGTTTTTGTTTAGTTTTTCGAATATGTGAATATTCCTATTCAATTGTGGTCTGTTTTTACATTTTCACTTTGAAATCAAGAGTTTTTGTTTGATTTCATATTTCAAAAACTGTTGTTTTATTCGTTTTATGCATTTGTGAAGGTTTTTATTTATTTTTCCCTATTTTATTCATCAAGAATCAAAATGCTTTTCTACAAAAAATTTCTCTGAGGATTAGATGAGCAATTTGAAATGAAGACGGATAATGTGTGAGTATATGTAAAATATGTAAAAGTGTATTCTACATAGAATATGTGCGATATGGTTCTTTTGTGATTTTTTTTGATTTTCTGTTATTTTGGTGAAAATAGAATATTTCATTTTGATTTTTATGTATTATTATGTGTAGGTAAAGTATATTAATTATGTTTATATTAGGCTTACCTATCTGAAAATAAAATTCTACTTGTTCTTTTATGCCTTTAATAGAGATTTTGACGATTTTATGTCAATACCACAGACCACTTAAGTAAGTGGTATTTTGAGCCCCTATTTTGAAATAGTTCAACAATTTTTATTGGATTTTTTTTCAACATTTTGGGATTTTAGAGAAGTGATTTGTGTTTTAGTAGTTCTTGGAAATATTTTTCCCTATCCTCTTCACCATTAGGTATATCACTCTGGCGTTCACCTTCCACCCTTGAGACCGATTTACACCACACATTATAACGGACTGCTATTATGAGGCATTTTCTGGCGCTCATGTATTCAAAACGTATTCGTCTGTGATTCAAATACATTCATTCAGGCGTTGAAACGGTGAAGTCACCTCAACTATGATTTGAAACGTATTCATGATGATTCAAAATTAGCGTGAGGTCAGTTTTGAAACGGAATTTGACGTTATTTTGCGTCAGTTGTCAGTTTCTGCTTTATTTTGGTGGAGTTCTGCAATTGAATGGTCTTCAATCAATAAATTGTCTTTTAACAGGGCACCTGGAACATCATCTGGTAATAATAATGATATGGAAAAAGATATCATACAACACCTACAGAATACACTATCAAAACGTAACTACTCGGCAAAAACAAACTGAACACTGAAATGTGAAATGCTATGTTCGTGACAAGGAAACATATATAGGTGACAGGTTTCGTACAACTGAACAACCTAAAAAGTAAAATTCCCTAGGATTTTTCATTTTTGTTCATATCGACTTCAATACTTCGATTCATATATCCATGAACATCCAGAAATCTATAAAATAAAAAATTCTATCTGTTCCGACTTTGAATTATTCCAAAAAAGGCCTAGAAAATGTCAGTCGATTTAGACCCGAAAATTTTATAGTGGCAATACTGAATAGGGCTACTGGAATCATCCATTATAGCGAAAAGCATACATTTTCATCTGTCGTTTTCGTACATTTTTTTTGCCTTAGAGCAGCACTGCCTATGAAGATAACCAATTTGTTCCGGCTTTGACTTCGAATAATATGTTGGTTCCAACCAAGGGATGAACGGATAGACCCGTTGATTGACAAAAATTAATAACACTATCTATGATATTTATTAAAACAAACACTTTTATTTCTAGACGTGTTTCGCTAATACCGTAGCTTCCACCGGGGGATATAACTATTTTGCAGGTCTGCAAATTGTTCTCAGTAGACATTGCTCTCGTAATCTTGAAGACAGAAATTCTTGCAGGTCGGGTCTGTCAGACCAGGTTATTTATTTTCGAGTTTCAAGGTCAAAGTCAGTGTGGGGGCAGTGATTGAGGAAGGTAGGGGTCTTGAAGTTTCACCTATCCTATGGAACATATCATATCCAAGGCCGTCGCGTGGTTTGTAGGAACCTAAAGCAAGGCTTAAATCGATGCCCCTTCCCTTGGTAAAACCCGTATTTTTGTCTGTTCCAGTTTTGGTTCGGAGAATAATACCCTAGCCCTTTAGAGCCACCATCACCTTTGGGCCCACCGTGTTCCGGACTGGCAGCTATTATAAATAACAGCATCACGGACCACTCACCCTCCACTACACATATTAATACTAACATTTGATTTATTTATTTACAGTCTTTGATTTTTCATTCGCTCTGTTCATGTCTTTGGTGCGCTGCCTTGTTGTCTATACATACAAACTTTAAACTTTGAAAAGCATTCGCCTGGCTTTCGCATTAGCAAATGTTCTCAGAATTTCTTTGAAGTCTAAGTATTTTGCTGTGCCATTCTCCGTCGATAGAATGGCGAGAGAGTTCAGCCTTTCCTGTAGCATCGTAGAGCGCAAATACGTTTTTGTAAGCTTAAGTTTACTAAAGCTTCGTTGGGCACTAGCAGCTGTCACGGGTATTGTTAGTACCACTATTAGCGCGACCCACAACTTTGGGAACAAATCTGTACTGTTTGTGGTTTTGACCTTACGCAATAGTTCTTTTGGTGTGACTGTGATGTTTTTTTTGTTTCTATTATCCAAATTCGAACTTACATGTAAAAGTTCATCATAGAGCTCAATGCCGCTCATATCAGACACTTTGGTTGTTTCGTCTATTGAATGTCTTTCAAGGTCCAAGCAACTTTGTTTCAGATCTTCTTTTTCTGAAAGTTGAGCAACATCAACATAACTCAAAAATACGCACACTTTTCGGTGTTCCTTTAACGCAGTTGGTCTCTTCACAAGTGAGGCCAAAACGTTATCTACTAATGGATTAAAAATGCTTCTCATAAAGGTTTCTTCAGGTGACGATTGCACTTCCTCAGAAAACTCATACAAAAAAACGCGTTTCCGTTAACGAATCCTTTCCTTGGAAAAAAACAGGTTCGATACCAAGTTCGGCTGCTATTTTTTTAGCTGAGATTACTGCGTCCACATACCCATTCTCTCTTAATATGTTTGAAAACTCCAAATACTTGTTGAACCTCTCAGAACAGTCATACATATTTACATCTTTTCCTTGAATGCTTTTACTGATCAAATTAACTTAAAACAGAATGTCATTCCACAAAACCAGAGTTACGATAAACGAAAAGTCTTCCATATGACCAATCAAAGATTTAGCCTCAGAGGCTGGGGTCATCAATTTTGTCGCCTAACTCAACCATTACATCCCTAATTTGTACATATTGGTATCTGAAAGCCTGAACAGCACTCATTCGAGCTTCCCAACGCTTTTCACACACTTGCTTTGAAGTTAGTGCTTTAGTATGGTCGTTTATTATACACCAGCGCTTTTTTGAACTTTAGAAGATGGTAAAGAGTCGTTGTAGAATACCAAATAAAGACGTAGACTTGACTGATGATTTTGCTCCATCAGCAATCACTAGGATTGGGCTATGGCACCCACAAGTAATAAGCACAGCTGAAAGGAATTTGTCCAGTACTCAGGCTTGAATTCCATTATGTACACCTGCCATATTTGCGCCAATGTCGTATTCTTGACCTCGAAAGTTTGTCATGTTCAAACTACACTCTTCAATTTCTTTGATCAGCAAGTCAGCGGGAGCTTCTCCAGTGGTTCCTTCGGCAACTCGATAGGCTATAAAGCTTTCTTCTATTTTAATTTTCCCATCATCATCTTCAGTGACTTATGTCTGGAGTAGAATCAAGGATAACGGAAAAATATCTGGCTTTCTTTATTTTTGTCAAGATGCTTTGCTTTAGTACATTATCAAATTTTCCTAAACGTTGTACTAGTCCAAAAAAGTTCCAATTATTTTTGGTAAAAACTTTGGCAGATGATCCACGAAAAACCCATATTGTGCTCTGCTATAAATAAGGTAATTTTTACTAAACGACGCAACACTTCTGCTTCAGTTTCAATTTGTTTCATGATGTGCTGGTTAATTGAGGTGAGCCTTTTTCCTGAGAATAGTACAGCGAACGTGTCACGAGAGGCAGCACTAGTAGTAAGCATANAGCGACTGACTGATAAGTGACGACTCGGTCTGACGCGTACTGAATGCAGCCAGCGACTGACTGCTGAGTCACAGTATACTTTAGAAGTATACTGTGTCTGAGTGATAAGTGACGACTGGCTAAGTTTAGTTTGTGGACCGGTGGGGGCGCGCCGATGCGGCGCGTGTCGCTGTGAGTGTGATGTGTCACTGTCGTCTGTCAGATTTGGATTCGCAAGCTTGTGTAATGTATTATTGGTTTGGTTAGCAGCGCAGCGCTGTTCGTCAATATACCCTCACAGTTGCTGGGACTGAGTAATCTTTTGCATTATCAATTATGCATAGACATACAGAATTTTACTCACTCAAAAATGCATCAATTGTATAATACAGAGACCGACACAGTTGTCTGAGTGCTTATTAATAAAAGTAGATAACACCAGCATGAATTTTTTTACCCCTGGCGGCGCCCCCTGGATCGCTTCGGTCGCCACACCCACGCGAAGTCCGTGATTATGTCTATAACCGATTAGTCTCAATTTTTCGGACAAACTGGGAACGAGTAGTTGTGAGGTAGGTACGTATGATGTTGTTGTTGGGTTAGTGCCTAATCTGTATATGCTGGTTACTGTTTTAGTCAATTTCATTAAGAGCCCTTTTTTACAAAGTGTCAAATTCGTCAAAAAAATTAATAGTTTCAAAATTAATTTCAGGCCTTGTATAAAATAATGGCATTTTGTAAACGTTGCCTGACCTTCAACTATTTCATCGTTTTTATGAATTGAGGTCAACAATCAGTGAAACACCCAAAAACTACTTAATAATTTCTATTTTTAGCGGACGAAACAATACTTGTGACGTATAGCGAAACACGTGTCGCGGTTTTGTAAACTTTCAAGTGAAAATTTCACAATAAAATGTGTTTTTTCAATACGTTTAAATAGATTATTTGCATCAAGTATCGGTTAGTTCTATCATATTTTTCTCTTTCTAGTTTCGAAAATAATGATTTCAAACTTTTTATAGGTGAAAATTATTATTTTTACCATTTTTAGTTTATTTTATTTAAAAAATACGGGTAAAACTACAGTTATAATAATACAGAAATTTCTGTAATCTACGATTAATTTTTCTTTCCTGTCTTTCCAACTGTTGGTGTGGATTCTTCCTTGTACCAATCTTCACTGAAAAAAAAAATCAGAAAATGGTTAGAACATTACAAACTTTCATATGAATTTTTCATAAGATTGTTTGAAAATGGGCAATACGAATGTAAAAAGTAGTTGTTTCAATTGGACTTTTTCTTCCCAAAAATCAATTTCTCAAAAAAAATATACCCCCTCGATTAAAATAAGATTCCTATGGCTGGGATTGAATCAAACGAGTAAATGAATGCCATTACGTACTTTCATCTATGGCATAAGTAGATTTCACTCATTCGTGATAAAACGTCTTGATTGAATGAAGGAATTGAGTGCTTCATCTTATATCCACATGTTATCCAAATTAGTGCTGAAGGCAAGTGTCTTACTCCGAAATATCGGATGTCCGCCATCGAGGATGAGAGTGTTCCATGTAAATCTAAGTTTACCTCGTTCAAATGTTATATTGTGTAGCAATCCTGCGAATGATATCTGATTCATTTCCATAACGGAAAAAATGTCTTTTGTTTAATTTTATGTTCATTAGAAAGTCGTTGTTTCGAAAGAATTTTTTCTTTCGTGTAATTCTATGTCTATATAGAATTAATTGTTTGGATAGGGCTCTTTCTTCCAGTTTGTGTGTGAAAGTTACTTATTTGCATTAACTACACATCTTTGTATAGAGTTTGTATATGTTTATTTAGGAATCGTCAATAATGCAACCTTTGAATTAGATGTATGCCAGGAGTCAACGAATGTATTAGACAAGTCATGACTTCACTCAGAAATTATGATTTGCCCTATTACAGATATAAGTTATATCAAAATGAGATTTTGGTAATAGGTAACTGATATGCTGTGTGATTGATGACTTAAATAGGTCTAATGAATTAAGAGAGTATGAAAAGTCTACGGAAGTATGATTTCTATTATAATTTATAAAGAAGCATTTATTGAGGTTCAGATTCCTTCCTTTGAAATTGCACCAATGTACAAGGTTATTGATATCACTCTGAAGTTGATGACAATTAATTTCATTTTCAATAATTTTAAATATTTTTGAATCGTCAGCAAATAGTAGAATTTGAGAATACTCAATACTTAGGGCAATGTCATTGACAAATAGGTTGAAAAGTAGGGGGCCACAGTGGCTTCCCTGAGGAATCCTAGAATGAGCTTCAATACTATCTTAAGTGTAATTGCCAATTTTAACCCATTGATACCTACCCGTTAAGAAGCTATAGAGCCTGTTCAGTAGATTGCCAGTGATGCCATATGTTGGATAACAATATCATTCAATTAGAAGGCGTTATGTTTTCTAATGAGTGTAATTTGTCTCTTAGCGGTCATGCTAATCGGCAAAATTGCCGCTACTGATCAACTGAAAACCCTCACTGGATGAGAGAAGAGGCTAATGTTTGGGCAGGGATTTAAAAAAATCATATCATTGGTCCCTTTTTCATTGAGGGCAACTTGAATGGTGATAATTATTTGACACTACTTCAAAATGATGTCATTCCAAGTTTAGCAAATTTATATCCTGATCCAGGAAACCCTCAAGTTCCAGTGAATACGATATGGTTTCAGCAGGATGGAGCACCACCACATTACCAAGTTAATGTCCGGCAATACCTCGATACAACATTTCCCAATAGGCCTTTTCATCATAAGACAAGCGCAAGCGTAGTAGCTGTCATATTGAAATGGCGGTAATTCAAAACATTCGTACTGTTTTAATCAACAATGGCTGGGCTAACGATTATGGACATTATGGTAGGGGTGACATTTGTACGTTGAAGGATGTCAAATTATTATCTACATTTACCGTGTTTCGGGATTTCTTTCAAATATGTAGAGTAACCGAAATAATGAATTTATTCCATTTGGCTTTTACACACTGTATACTCCAAATAACGACTGACAATAGTTTACTACAATACACTTGTGAAAACCGCTCCCCAGGCAATTTTTGAGATTATCGCGCACAAAAGCATAGACAATAGTATATTATGCAATGATCATGTAATGATGGTTATTAAGACACGAGCATTAACCGGGATACGAAACGAGCCGAAGGCGAGTTTTGTATGGTATATGCGAGTGTATTAATAACCATTACATGAGAGTTGCATACGCTATTTTTTCTAAACCCGATAAATAATGAAAAACTATAAAACAACCTATTGACACAACAACAAAAGACCTGGATCAAAAGAGTTTCAACTTGTTTGGATTTGATTGTTGAAATCGACCATATTCAGTTACTTTACTGATTTGAGTAGCTTTTTGGTGGTAACAATACTTCAAATCAAATATATTTAAAATTACTCATTTCTACAATAAAACTTTGATATGATTTCTACCGCCAAACATGAGACCTGATATTGAAAAAAATCATCAGTTGTTACCACTTCCTCTTGACGCCAAAACGGAGGGTGAACTGGTGAAAGCATTTCACAGTTTTGGAGACCAAAATACTTGGAGAATATAACAGATTCGAACCTTCCATTGTCTGAAGTGGAAGTCGAAATCTATGGCAGAAAAAATGAAATAAAATTGAATTGAATGTCGAATTGAATGTAAAAAAAACAAATTTTGATGTGAAATAAATTCACAAACATAAACATTGCGAGTGCAACCTGTTGAATGATCAAATCGATTTAGTTTACTCACCGGTTTTCAAATTAGCATATCCGCATTGTAACTAGTAAACAAAATTTAGATACTCAATCAATCCAAGTACCTCTATTATTACCTACAGGGATGCTATATAAGGGCTAATTGATGATGGAAATTATATACAAACAATAAAAAAGTGAAACGAAAATACAGTCAAACTAAATATTCAAGATAAATTATAAACTTAAAATGAGGAAGAGATCTCAACCCAAAACGTTCGATTGCTAGTATCCACAACCATCTCCGGATGATCCTTGGTTTATTCCTGATTGTCGAAACAATTTACACGTCACTTGGGCGCTTTCATCTCTCTTCTCTCTTTCTACTCGCTTTTCAGTTCAGTGCAACGTAGATTGTATAAATGTTGCGTATCTACACACTAGCCTGGCGATGTTGGTCAACATTTATGCAGCTTCTTTGATCTTCCCCCCAAATCAGTGTTCCTTTCTGTAGATGGTCCCAGCTTTGGACCACTTGATGTTATGTTGATGAGTCCCAACATGCTCTATCTTTCTTGCGGGACTTTAGGCTAAGACTGTTCCACTAGCCAAACCATTTTCCTTCGTGTTATAAAGCCTGAATATACGATCAATTAGGGTCTTGACGATTTCTGTCTGGGTTGATTGGCGATGGTTCGCTTCGTGATTCAGATATTATCCCATATGAGTGGGTTTAAGGTATATATACTCGAACCAATAGTAGAGACCGGTTCCAGTATGGTCGGCCGACTTGCGAACACGTAACAGTAATAGCCAGAGGATGACAAATGAGACTTTGTCAAAACGTCGATAGATTGAAGATATTAGCACATAACACGGATCAAAATCCCAAAAACCAGTTCAGCATATTCCTATCCGTGAGAACTTTAGATTTAACATTTCAAACCTTTACGTGAAGAAGAGGTTAATTCAAGAAGAAGAAGAACTTAGGTAAAATTCAACATCATTTATAAATTAGGTAGTAGAGCGGGTAAGGGCAGTCGAACACGTAAACATCATTTTACCAGTATAGTAGGGATCGTCTCGAGTATGGTCGGCCGACTTCCGAACACGTAACAGTAATAGCCAGAGGATTACAAATGAGACTGTGTCGAAACGTCGCTAGATTGAAGATATTAGCACATAATACGGATCAAAAACCCGAAAACCAGTTCAGCACATTCCTATCCGGGAGAACTTTAGATTTAACATTTCAAACCTTTACGGGAAGAAGAGGTTAATTCAAGAAGAAGAAGAACTCAGGTAAAATTCAACATCATTTATATATCAGGTAGTAGAGCGGGTAAGGACAGTTAAACACGTAAACATCATTTTACCAGGGATCGGTTCGAGTATGGTTAGCCGACTTACGAACACGTAACAGTAATAGCCAGGGGATTAGACTTTGTCGAAACGTTGCTAGATTGAAGATATTAGCACATAACACGGATCAAAAACCCGAAAATCAGTTCAGCATATTCCTGTACGTGAGAACTTTAGATTTAACATTTCAAACCTTTACGGGAAGAAAAGGTTAATTCAAGAAGAAGAAGAACTCAAATGAAAGTCAACATCATTTATATATTAGGTAGTAGAGCGGGTAAGGACAGTCTACTATCGAACACGTTAACATCATTTTACCAGTATAGTAGGGATCGGTTCGAGTATGGTCGGTCGATTTCCGAACACGTAACATCACTTTACCTATATAGTAGGGAACGGACCAAGTAAGGTCGGTCGACTTCCGAACACTTAACAGAAATCACCGGTAGATGACAGATGAGACTTTGTCGAAACGTTGTGAGATCAATCCTATTGAGGATAATAGCAAAAAACACGGATCAAAACCCGGACACATATACATTTATGAAAAAATCTATGAGATATTCGAAAAAGGTATTATACAAATTTTGGATGATCGTAAAGGTTTGCAACATTATAATATATTGCCATTGGACCGTAAAAGAGTTGCGAAAATTCAGAAAAATGTCTAGAGTTTTTATTAGATCAAACACATTCGATAATATTTTAGAGTGTAGATCTACAATTTTTGAGAAAAATAACATTGATTTTTGTGAAATTCGGTATTCCTATCAAAATATTCATATTGAAAGTAATGTATACTTATGAAAATATTAAAATTATATATTTTGTGTTGTAATGAATTGTTCAAAAACTATTTGAAATTTGTATTAAGTAGCTTTGAAGCTAAAGAATATCATTATATCACATGGGTGGTGAACCAGATAAATGTTTACGTTTTGATTGTTTGATATTATACATGATAATTATTGATATGAGTACTCACCAGCCGGGGACGTTTTCGGGAGCATCACATCTTTGACTTTCTTCGTTGTAAACTTCGCCAACTTGACATCCCAAATCCCTAGGTTCAACTCCATTCAGGCAAACATAAAATCTTTGGCAATCGGTTGGATGTGCAAATTTGGGATGAATAACCAGATTTCCATTAGCATCTTTTTGTCCTTCAGTCGGGCACTTGAAACCATCTTTCAAAGTATCTGAAAGAAGAAATACATTGAAGGATATGACACCGATACTAATTTCAATATAACATGACCAATTTTTTACTTTCATTCAATTGAATGAATTATTGTTTTAAAAACCGTTATCATAGAGTGATGGACACAGAACAACATACATGATTTCAATCTTCAACCTCACTTCTCAGTTCATGAAGAAGAGTCAATAAAGTGACAAAAAGATAAATTGTCCCCGAGTATAATACTTGAACCAACTATAAGTAGGGTGCTGATGATAGTTCTGAACCTCCCCCCACCACTATCCCCTCCCAGTGCCACCATACTGGCTTTGACATTGAAACCCATTTTCCACTCTCCGCTTATGACTTGGCTTCGAGTTGCGTGTGACGTTACATGACCTTGACTCACGTCATTATCATGAAACCGCATTTTGATTCTTCACCTACGAATCAACTTCAAAAGCCGCAAAGATTTGATCATCTTGGGTCGCTTGGGGATATTGGAAAATCTATCCGATTCTGGACCTCCCCCTACCATTAGTAACGTCGCATGTCATATGGCCCTGAATGTGTGTGTGTAGTTTCAGCCTGATCTGGTAACTTAAATCTCATGTCATCAAACGCTCACCGGCCGCTACTATGAACTCTAACGCCACAGTGAGCAGATGTCTGAATAATTTCAACTGGAAAAAACATTTTGAGCATACTTGTTAAAATATCGAAACAAATTTTTATGCTATGCTGTAACTCAAAGTAACTCTAGATAAAAAATACCAAATTGGCATATATTATGCCTGGATCAAATCTATCTTATCGTACAATTGTAAGTAGTAGCGACATCAATCGAATTTTTGTTTTACAAAAACGAGTAATACGTTTGATTTTTGACTCAAAAAAGTGGAATGAATCCTACAAGCCAACTTTTATAAATTGTCATGTACAATTGTCTAATATACGTAAAGAAGAATGAAAAAATAATATCGAAACGACTTCGCACTGGTACAGTGTTATCCCATAAATATGTTAAGGCTCAATCAACATAAAACAAGTTTATATGAAAAAAATCCTATATATGCTGGATCAAAGTTTTTCAATTGTCTACCTTTTTGTGACAAAACACAGACAAACTTCAACAAATTTACTAAAATCATTTCTAGTAGTAGGAGAGCCCACGACCAAAACCATGTATCATAGTAATACGACATAATAATATTATGAATAACGATGACGGACCAATACCAAATAGCATACTATATAGCTTGTTAAAATAATATTATTATATTTACTGACTATTACATAAGGACACATTGTAGAAATAAATTTAGATAGGCAATATTGTGTAATTAATTTTTATATAGCTTGAAAATTGTTTTATATATACCTAGCTATAACATCTAAACATTACATAAGGACACATTGTAAAATCAATTCAAGACAAATAGATAGGGCAATATTGTGAAATTAATTTTATATAGCTTATAATGTTTCAATTATTAGATTTACCTGACTATTATATAAGAGCACATTGTAAAATCAATTAAAGACCAATAGATAGGGCAATATTGTGAAATATTTTAATTATTAGATTTACCTATTATATTAGGACACATTGTAAAATTTATTTAATACAAGAAGATAAGGAAAATTGTAAAATTAATTTGAGATACTCAAGACGCAGGTACCTAGAACAGGTATCTATGGTATAAATTAGGATAGCTTCGTGAGTATGATTAGTTTGATCTTCCTCTTGAAGATGATCACTTGGTGATCGAAACACGTGTCGAAGTGTTAAACTAACGGTTTGGTGTTGGGAAAAAAATCCAATCATATTCAGATGAAAAGCAGCCTATCTTCAGAATAGATACTGATGAACTGCTAGCAAGTTAGACAAGGAATGACATTTTATACAAGTTTACATTTTTTTCCAATCAGAAAATATGTAGCAGACTCACACTGTATCACTATGAAGAGTGAAGCAGAAAATTCATTTAAAATTTGTTCTTTCAATTTATTACTTTCAATTTTGATTGTAAGATGTGTCTTGCGAAGATCTCTAGAATGATGTAGTGAAAGTATAAGGAATCAATTCAGTCTCAGTATAAATGTTGATATTCGACAGACGAGAAGGTGAATAATCTGTACAGCTCTACCTATTTTTCCCTACTCACTTGACAGAGCGTTACATCCTTGTCTCCCTGCTGAATCAGGCCATACACATGTTCCAGAATACTCATCGAAGTGTAATCCTGCAGTGCAGGTTATTTCAGTATGTTCTCCTTGAATACAGTTGTAAAATTTATTACAAACAGCGGGATCTTCATGAGGAAAAAAACCGTTTAATCTTGGACAAACGCCTTTTGGCTGAGGCTCCTCTGAAATTAGAAAATCAATTTTTCAGTTTCATATTTCACTACTTCGGTAATAATTCTTTACCTAGAATTTTACACAAAAATATTGTAGTAACAACTATAAAATAAGAAGTAGAACCTAATAACGTTTGAATCTAGGAATATAAATTATCCATACTTACGGAGCTCAGTACGATCTTCACAATCTACGTTGAAGGCTTGATCACACTTGTTTCTTTTTCGTATGAGAGGATCAAAAACTAAACCATCTGGACAGAGTTTACTAGTAGGAATACCATCCACACATTCGTAATATTTGTCACATTGCCGGGGATCCTCATATTGTCCATCTTTGGCGGGACACTTGAATTGGGACTCTTTAAAAAACACATTTTTCTATTAGGTACTTTTGAAAAAATCTTCAATTATGAGATGAACAAATTCATAACTTTACATTTCTGTTTCAATTATTTTCAATGGCATTGATAATTTCTCATATCAGAATATATTCTTAGTCGTCAAAAATTATTGAAATGACATTTTGTTAGGAAGTATAAAGTTTGTGAAGTATATATATATGAAGTGAAGTGTAAATTAGTGTTATTGTGACAAAAAAATATTTTTCTTAAGAGTTCGTCATTTGATAACAAAATGAAAGTTTTGAGAAACTTGAATAGCTTTATGTTATAAACAATTAAGTTAAAGAACGAAAGAGGTCGATAAGTAGAATTTGGAATCTCTGGCGTGAAATAAATCTATTGGAAACATTTTTACCTCAACAGAACAAAAANTGGACCTCAATGCCATTGGACCTGAGTTCAAGTCCAACCTACGGTGAATACTTTTTAATTTTTTTCAAGCACTGAATTTCAAACTAATTGAAATTGAATAAAATTAGAGAAATGTAGTAAGAACCCACCTCTTGAGGTGAGATATATGATGGTATCATGAGGAACTGGGAACTGTTTACCTATGAGATTGAGTAGGTACATCTGATTTACGTCCCTATCAGTCTAGTTTGTAAGTGTCATTTCACAAAATTTGAGTTCAGTTTCATAGAAAATAATGACTGAGGTGTCATTCAATATTAATTTCATCCAGAGTAATTGACAATTCGAGCCAATTTGCGCAAACAAATAGTTTGAAAGTTATAAACAATTAAGTTAAAGAACGAAGAAGGTCGATAAGTAGAATTTGGAATCTCTGGCGTGAAATAAATCTATTGGAAACATTTTTACCTCAACAGAACAAAAATGCTGTATCTCGACGCGCTAATCGCAAGTTAGCATTATCAGTAGATGACTAAAACTGTCAAACTCTTATCGAGATACACCATTTTTGTTCCGGTGAGTGTTCTTTTTTACGAGTATCTCAAAACCTATCGGTGAGCATGAACTTCACTATAAAACGTCCTGACTTTCTGAAATATAGCACCGGTATTTACAGTTTTAATAAAGTGATAAAAATAGGGGTACAAACGAGTGGTTCAGCTGGTGAAAGCGACGCCCAAACCATGTATCACCTTTGTGAATTTAATGAAATGAAAAAAATTGAAAAAAAATTCCTGTGGATATTTTCATCTATTTTCTAACAATCGAATGAAGTAGAGTGTGGTACGTAGAACACTTTTCTCATACCAGAACAAAACAATGTTTTTCGACGCGCGTTAGCTTCATCAGGAGATGAAAAAGACTTTTTTTTATCTCATGATAATACTTAATTGGTAAAGAAACGCACATTTGCAGAAGTGTTTTGTTCTGGTGTGGCCAAAGTATTTTCTATGAGTTCATGTTACACAAGAGGTTTCAATTTAACCTATAAAAGCGTGAACATTTGTGAACAGAATATGATTAAGAAAAAGTTTTTTGCTATTGATTTTTTTTTGACAAAAAATAAATAATTATTCAGTCATATAATGCAATGTAAACATTTTTCAAGGAACGATTTTTTCTAGGATTTGCATTATTAATCAGAATCAAAAAACATCTCGCGAACAATGCATCTGCTTATGAGACGCATGTAATGCTTTAGACTTTTAGATAATAAAAATGAAAAATTTAATAGTCATTTCATGTAGATTCTTTATTAATGAACCAAAAAAATTATTTTCACGTTTTTAATGCTTTCACATCTGTGATTGTTCATAAAAAATTGAACAATGATTTTTTCGAATTATTTCAGCAACGATCTTTTCTAAGCCTACAAAGAGTAATTCAGAAAAAAAAAACTACAGTTTGGGAAGTTAGGAAATCTTTCAATAATTTTTTTTCAAAGATCGTTTATGGAATTTTTAATATCCCCAATAATCTATCAGATACTCGCAAGGAATAAGTTCTTTTCAAATGGTACGTGTGAACACGCCTAGTGGTAAAATGTTCAACTGTCAATTCAGTGAATTAGTGAAGAGAAGAAAGAGTTTCTCAAATATGTCGAATTACAGAAAAGGAGATGAATACTTTTCAGAACAGAATTAAGAGGAAAATAAGGAAATGTGTAAGTAAGTGGACTATGCAACGAGTTTCCTGAACCTTTTGGTTCAAAATAAGTTTATTGATATATATTCTATTTTAAAACCTACAAATAGGCTGCTAATGGCGGTTATCAAATGAATTAGTAAGTGCAAAAAATAGAGAAGATCACGATGAGTGAGTGCTGTCAAAATAGATTTGAAAAACTTTCCAACCAATCAATTAATTCTGGTTCTATTTTGTTTAAAGGAAGAGTAGATATCATTTCACTGAAAATTTATGTCTTCTCAAGGATCAACAGATAAAATCACTGGAAAAGAATATATCCTTACGAAGGATTGTGTTCAAAGTTTTTCGAAGTGAAAAACGAATCTCCCTTTTCAATAAATAACATATCTTGATTGCTTCGAAGTATTTACCTCTCCCGTAACTTCACCTTATGAAATGTGTACAAAGTAATTATGTATTAAAAAATGGGTATAAAACGATAAACTTTGAAATTGTGTTGTAGGTTCTATCAACAATCCTCCCTGGTGTAATTGGAATAATAGATTACAACTCATATGGCTAGTACCTCGTGCAAAGTAAGGGATGTACCAATAAAATTTAAGTGAATCATGAATGGCATTCTTCATAGAAATAAAGAGCATTAAGAACATCTCCATATCAACAGAAAATATCATTTACTTAATGTTCAGTATTCATAATTTTTTCTACAATCGATAATTCTACTAATGGAATTGGCTAATACTTGATGAAAATCCATAATATATTTAAGTAACACTTCATTGTGAGATTTTCACCGAACAGTTTACAAAACTATAGAATAACGTGTACGATAATACAGTATGAACACACCCTCAGGCGACTGCCACTCCACTCCAAAAAGATTTATTTCAAAAATTCATCCCTACTTCATTGTGCTTTGTCGGTCAAAGCTCAAAGCTTTATCGTTCGGTTTTTTGAAAGGATTGGAACAGTTGGCTTTCGAAATTCATAACGCGAAACTCATTGTCGGGTCGTCAGGGCTGTTCTATAGACAAAACATTTATTTCAAAAATTCTACCCACCTTTTTTTGAGCTTTGTCATTTGTTTTTTACCACTTCAGTTGGAATTATTATTTTTTTATTATTCGCCAGCAAAAAAGTCACTGTTTCACCAAATTGATTGCAGCAAGGAGCTTTTTGTTATCCATAACGCCAAAGTCATTGTCAGGTCGTTGGGGGGATGCTATAGACATTTATTTAAACCTTTAGCCAAAGTTAGGTGGAATTGTTTGAATAAATGTCTAATTCGGTTTCTTTTTACCAAAATGATTGAAATGATGAAGTTTCTGTTATCCATAACTCGCTCATTGCCGTCATCAGGGGTGTGCTATATGCATTTATTTCAAAAATTATCTTCAAGTGTATTTATTAAGCTTGTTCGTTCGTTTTTTGTTTTTTTGATATCTATTGAAATTTCGAATTTCATATTACTAATAACGCAAAAGTCTTCGGATCGTCAGGGGGTGCTATAGACATCATTATAAAAATTCTCCTCAACTTTAATAAGCTCTGTTGTTCGGTTTCTGTTGAACCGAATCAATTGGAAAACTGAAATTTTTGACTAAAACAACGCAAGAGTTATTGATCAGGAGTTATTCATTATCCATTAGAAAAAATGTCATTGTCGGGTCGTCACAGAGATGCAGGTATTCATTTAAACAAAGCTTCCTAAGTTTATTAAATTTTGTCCAATCAAACTTTATCGTTCAGTTTTTGTTCAATCAAATCAATTGAAAAAATGAGTGTTTTGATATTGATAACGAAAAAGTTATTATCGGGTCATCAGGGGGGTGCTACAGGCATTTACTCAAAGAAATTCTCCTCAACATTGTCTCAATAAACTTTGTCGTTTGGTTTTTGTTTTACCAAACGATTGGGATAAGTGGATTTTGGATATCAATAACGCAAAAGTCACTGTCGTATTGTTGAGAGGATGCTATAGGCATTTATTTGAAAAATTCTACTCGACTTAATTGAAATCTGTCGTTCGGCTTTTCTTTAACCACTTTGATAAGAATTATGAATTTTGCACTATTCATAAGAAAAAAGTCATTTACTGGTTATGAGAGTGTGTTATAGGGATTCATCTCAAAAATTCTCCCCAGCTTTGTTAAACTCTGTAGTTTGGTCCGACACTTATCTATTCAAAAAATTCTCATCTACTGTATTGAGGTTAAAATTTCATTTCACTTTGTTTTACCTAGAGCCAGATCGAAAACCAAAATAATCAGTTCAAATTGGGTTCATTTATTTCTATCGTAATAATCAATAAAAATCAAAATAACTAGTTTAAATCACTGATATCCTGCTAAATATTTAGTTGAAAATTATGACCAGCATCCTAATGACGTTTCCATTATACGTTTTTTTGGTGTATAATATGTCCCAATTTTCGAAAACATGATGTTAAAACAGGCGAACTCAATTCAAAACTGGAGAACAGGAAGTTATTTTCCAGTAGATATTCAGGTAATTATTAAAAACAATCAGAAGGAAAAGAAATATTGCATAGTTTATATTATTTTGTCCAATTGGTGCGAGCCAGTGGGGCATTTTTGACAATTGCTTCTCTGTTTATTTTTATGTGATGTCGATGATAATGACATGATCTTTATATTTATTTTTAACGCACAATTGTATTACCGAGTGAATGATGAAAGAAAATATTCGTCAAATGGAAATTGAAAAGGCGTTAAAAGCTGGAGAAGAGATACTGAATAAAACATCTCGATTAGGTTAGGTTAGGTCCAAAGTGAGTGGGTCTATTCGACCCTCCACCGCAACCCGCAAGGGTTTATTGTGACTCACACACATTCACACTCAACCAGTGGTCTTTCAGGTCAGATGGTGCGGCTCTGCCGAACTCTAAAACATCCCGATTAATCTATGAAGTAGAACTGCACAAATAATTAAGAAGCGGCAAAAACCAAAATTCTGTTCAGTCAATGAAATAGTTCTAATGCCATATTCAATAAGGACACTAAATAGTCGTACTATAGATGTAAACTGCCTTGCCAATTATATTAAAGTGCAAGCGCACAAAATGAAAGAGAAGTTAGCGTCTGTGATATCGGTCACATTTTCTTAATACACTTTTTTCATATGTCTGCATACCGTAAATATATAATCTTTTCGTTCTGGAATTTATTGAATTCCAACCAATATTGAGTAAATTTCTAATTATTTGGCCGAATGAAAATTTTTTATGCCTTCAGTAGATATGTAAAGCCGATTATTTTTTAAATGATGCATAATTTTAATATATCACTTGTTATGCAACAAGAAATCATAAGTGAAAGCATAGATGATTGTGTCGAGATAAATACATCACTAACAATAGTATTTCAATTTAGTAAACTTTCATCTATTTATAAATTCACGAAAGTGGCAATAATTTCCATTGGAAAATCTGATAGGTACCTAAGTATTACTTGATTTTCTGATATCAGTACGTATTTTAGTGGACACTGAAATTTAAAATTAGGTTCAGTTTATTATCTAGTATGTAGTATGTTAACTCAAAAACATATGGACCAGCTCAGTAGATACGATAAAAAAATAAGTTGTCTGAAAAAAATTATATTGTTTTTTTAGACACTCACCTACAAAGGTAAAAACCAGACAAATTGTCACAAAAAATATCAACATTTTATTTTAAAGATATCAACGTGTAGTAGTAAGGTGTGAGACAATGATCACTTCACGATCGAGACTGAAAGTTATCTCTGCTTGTCCTCAATTAATAATATAGAAAGTGTAGGTCAGCCGGATTGTGAATAAATTACAGAACACTAGTATAATTCAAATGTCTGTCTGATGAAAAAAATACTTTCCTTTTTTATCAGTGATATAATCCTGAAACATTTTTATTGAATAACTTTTCGTTTATTCAAATCGAAGATGAATTATATTAAAACTCATGGCGACCAGTGTTCACTAAGATTGTAAATAGAAACGAGGATTAGTACCTACTATAGAACTTAAATGCCCATTATACTATTTATACTATATATATACTATTTATACTATATTTATACTAAATAGGTACACATTTAAAGTTTTTTCCCGTGAAAACAATTTTAACTTAACTGAATAGTATCCTCTCGGCCATTACGTATTAGAAAAGTGACACAAAGCAAAGAAGAATATAATTCTCTATCTAGCAAAGAAAAAATCTAATAATATCAGTAAACATCATGTAATTCAGATTCTGAAAAACACTTAACAAGAACAACTTGGAGCGAGATCATATTGTCGACAGATTGGGAGATTATAGCATGAGAAATCTTCGTGCAGGGAGTGTTGATGGCCATGAGAAATTATTTCAGATGCGGATATCAACAGCATTCAAGAGGTCAGGTAAGTCCAGCCACAGATAAACAGTGCAGTGCTTGCGTTAACATTCTCAAAATATTTACTTGACAGCGGCGGCTCGTCAGAGGAGGCAAGGGAGGCTTAGCCTCCCCATAAAATTTGAGGCTATTTATCGCAGTAAATTAAAAGATATTGACAAATAATTATGATTATTTTTTTCTAAAAATGCTTGGTTATCATTACTTTACCATTAATTTCTAATATAAATACATAATATGCCCGAAAAAACACTATCACTCATTACGTAGTACGTACCACACTGTATCCTGCAACAACAAAACTCAAACACACCGCCCATGAACGAATAACGAATAAACCATCAACCCGAAATAATAAATGCCATACGTTGCAAGGGAGCCAAGCCTCCGACCGCTTAAAAAAACACAATGAATAAACTTCACCAGCCAGCAACTTGAACAAAAATCATGAGCCAATTTCAATTCTTCTGTTCACCAGAGTAGTTATATTCAAAGATGAACATAGGGCTGGATAATCACATTCATAATTGTATACATGGATTCCTAATTTGTATGCAGAAGATTTTAAAAATTTGTGTTGAATCGTTTCCAGCATATTAATATAAGTTTGATAGTGAGGGTTCCATACCACCGACGCATATTCCAAGATTGAACGGACAAATGCACAGTAGAGAACTTTGAAGGCGTGTTATAGAGCCTGAATATACGATCAATTAGGGTCTTGACGATTTCTGTCTGGGTTGATTGGCGATGGTTCGCTTCGTGATTCAGATATTATCCCATATGAGTGGGTTTAAGGTATATATACTCGAACCAATAGTAGAGACCGGTTCCAGTATGGTCGGCCGACTTCCGAACACGTAACAGTAATAGCCAGAGGATTAGACTTTGTCGAAACGTCGCTAGATTGAAGATATTAGCACATATGTGAGAACTTTAGATTTAACATTTCAAACCTTTACGGGAAGAAGAGGTTAATTCAAGAAGAAGAAGAACTCAGGTAAAATTCAACATCATTTATAAATTAGGTAGTAGAGCGGGTAAGGACAGTTAAACACGTAAACATCATTTTACCAGGGATCGGTTCGAGTATGGTTAGCCGACTTACGAACACGTAACAGTAATAGCCAGGGGATTAGACTTTGTCGAAACGTCGCTAGATTGAAGATATTAGCACATATGTGAGAACTTTAGATTTAACATTTCAAACCTTTACGGGAAGAAAAGGTTAATTCAAGAAGAAGAAGAACTCAAATAAAAGTCAACATCATTTATATATTAGGTAGTAGAGCGGGTAAGGACAGTCTACTATCGAACACGTTAACATCATTTTACCAGTATAGTAGGGATCGGTTCGAGTATGGTCGGCCGATTTCCGAACACGTAACATCACTTTACCTATATAGTAGGGAGCGGACCAAGTAAGGTCGGTCGACTTCCGAACACTTAACAGAAATCACCGGTAGATGACAGATGAGACTTTGTTGAAACGTTGTGAGATCAATCCTATTGAGGATAATAGCAAAAAACACGGATCAAAACCCGGACACATATACATTTATGAAAAAATCTATGAGATATTCGAAAAAGGTATTATACAAATTTTGGATGATCGTAAAGGTTTGCAACATTATAATATATTGCCATTGGACCGTAAAAGAGTTGCGAAAATTCAGAAAAATGTCTAGAGTTTTTATTAGACCAAACACACTCGTTAATATTTTAGAGTGTAGATCTACAATTTTTGAGAAAAATAACATTGATTTTTGTGAAATTCGGTATTCCTATCAAAATATTCATATTGAAAGTAATGTATACTTATGAAAATATTAAAATTATATATTTTGTGTTGTAATGAATTGTTCAAAAACTATTTGAAATTTGTATTAAGTAGCTTTGAAGCTAAAGAATATCATTATATCACATGGGTGGTGAACCAGATAAATGTTTACGTTTTGATTGTTTGATATTATACATGATAATTATTGATATGAGTACTCACCAGCCGGGGACGTTTTCGGGAGCATCACATCTTTGACTTTCTTCGTTGTAAACTTCGCCAACTTGACATCCCAAATCCCTAGGTTCAACGCCATTCAGGCAAACATAAAATCTTTGGCAATCAGTTGGATGTGCAAATTTGGGATGAATAACCAGATTTCCATTAGCATCTTTTTGTCCTTCAGACGGGCACTTGAAACCATCTTTCAAGGTATCTGAAAGAAGAAATACATTGAAGGATATGACACCGATACTAATTTCAATATAACATGACCATTTTTTTACTTTCATTCAATTGAATGAATTAAAATGAAAATAGCATCGGAACGACTTCGCAATGGTACAGTTATTTAAGAAAAAAAGGAATTTAATACGACTCAAACAACATAAAACTAGTTTATACGAAAAAACTCAGTTATATGCTGGATCAAAGTTTTTCAATTGCCTACCTTTTTGTGTCAAAACACAGACAAACTTCAACAAATTTACTAAAATCATTTCTAGTAGTAGGAGAGCCCACGACCAAAACCATGTATCATAGTAATACGACCGAAACTGTATAAAATATATGATTCTGAACCCGACTAGGTGTGGAATAACAGTCAAAAGTGTAGCAATTGCGTGCGAGGCTATTTCTGCTGTGTTCAAAAAAAAAGGTAGTCGGTATCATAGCAATACGTCTGATATTGGAAATGTACATAGATTTTATAATTTTATGACGAATAAGTTGGTTTTCAGACATTTTGCTCGTAGTATATAGCTGAAGCGAATTTTCTAAAATGTCAAAAAAATTTGCTGACCTGTACTATAGCAATCCAGATACATTTTTTTCAACCGTTCATATATTTACCAGGATTACAAAAAACTGTTTTCAGAAATTTTAGATGTCGCATATGTACTCCCAAAAGAGAAAATTGGTCAGAACAGGACATGGCACACATAATTGGTAACAAAATCATTCACATCAATCACGACATGTGTTATGGATATTCGGTTAAAGACGGTTCTGTCATTCAAATAAACAATGGAGATTTAATATTACTGAAGTTTTTCCCAAACCAAATCGTTATTTTCAACACCTTGACAGGTGTTTCGGTCACCAAGTGACCATCTTCAAGAGGAAGATCAGACTGGAAAACTTGCGAAGCTAACCCTATTTATGCTATACAGGTATACCACACCTTTGGTGTCTTAAATTAATTTTACAATTTGCCTTATCTATTAATTTTACAATATGTCCTTATGTAATGTTTAGATGTTATAGCTATATATAAAACAATTTTCAAGCTATATAAAACTCGATTTCACAATATTGCCTATCTAAATTCATTTCTACAATGTGTCCTTATGTAATCAGTAAATCTAGTAATATTATTTTAACAAGCTATATAGTATGCTATTTGGTATTGGTCCGTCATCGTTATTCATAATATTATTATGTTTACTTATTTCTACACTCTCATAGGCATCTAGGTGCCTGTTGTTGTTAACTTGTCTAACTA